AAAATATCCCTTACAGTTGACACCTTTGTCAGGAAGACGATGGCTGGCGAGGAACAATAGTGTAGAGCGGCTGTTAGATCAGTGGGATTTTTGAGCAACTCATTACCAAATCGCTTCTTCCTTTTGTGATCAATATACTGCAAGGCAACTATTTTAACTGTACTCTGATCCTGCCAATAAGTTATATTTCACATTTCTCAAACTAATCCTAAATCATTTTGAAAGGATGAATTTACTTTATCACAAATATAAAGCAGATCAGTGTAGCCTTCACACTGACTTAGAAAACTTCACTCTTAGAAGGACCGAGCATCCTGATCATGCAAAGCTTCATGTTCATTTGAACTTCAATTTCATTTGCAGGCGATGAGTCACAATAACGTGGATGAAGCATGTTGACCAGACCACACACTAGAAATTGAAGGGACGACGACGTTTCGGTCCGTCCTGGACCATTCTCAAGTCGATTGTGTCGACTTGAGAATCACAATCGACTTGAGAATGGTCCAGGACGGACCGAAACGTCGTCGTCCCTTCAATTTCTAGTGTGTGGTCTGGTCTTCAATTTCATTTATCTGCCCCTGGAGAAAGTGGACTTTGGTTATTAATTTTCTACACCTCAAGCCACTAACAGACAAAAACAAATTATATTAACCAGGAAAAGCTTCAAAATGTGCAAGAAAGATACCATAAATTTTTAGTGAAGGCTTGCAAAGGCTTCTCGTATTCCTAGTAATGATGAAACTTTCAAAATGGTGATTATTTTTTTAAAGGTGAAAACACTTGTTGCTCCTCATTTGAACCACCTCATGTAAGTGATAAAATATGAGTCTGTAATATACAAGAACAAGGTTGTGGATGTAGACGAAGATGGTCTTGATAATCTTCAACTGTGAAGACATTGAGCGACTCTACACCTATTATGCTACATGCAGCAAATATTGCTAAGTTATCCTATTATCACTTTTTGTATTATACAGTGTTATGATCTCAGCCTACAGGAGAAACGAGTCTCCCTCCTTGAGAGTTATTCATCAAGCCTGACCTGATTAGAAGGTCTAGCAAATATTGAGGTGATAACGCATATGTAAAATAGTTGCTTGGATATGTATAACAATTTGAGATTATGGGCAATGAAGAAGAAAACAGATAAATGACTGGCGAGGAGATGTGGACATTTTGCTGGAGGCGTGAGGCTCGCTTCTGGAGGGGCTTTGACCTCACTTGAGTGTCAGACATCGCAGGGGAAAAGCCGCGCTCCGTTGAGCTCCCGTCAGAAGGGAACCCCTAGTGATATATCTCGAAGAGAAGAGAAGTGTGCAGACGTACCAGCTGTGGAATCGAGCTGGGGACGTGTGGTCTCAAGTTGTGGGCGATAATTAGTGAATATTAAGCCGCCCGGAGGCATTATTGTGGGCCGTGGAGCGCCCTGACCAAGCCTCGTCAGAGGAAGAAGCGCCCTCGACCAGACGATCTGTGGTAAGCACGATATACGCCAGTTCATAGTGATTGCTTGTAGTTGGTCGTGTGCCCAGCGACAGTAGCGATGTTTATTTATAAGTTAGACATGTTTTAATAAGGCAGAAGGCCTGAAATAAGAGAGTGGAGAGGGAGGAACACAGAGCGACGTCCGTCCCCTCTGAGCGCTGGCGGGCGACTGAGGGAGCCTGGCTCCTGACGGCGAAGGACCCTCCCAGCGTGAGTGAGGACCACCGCCGGGCGAGGTGGAGTATGGACCGGCCCAACGGGGGAGTCCACTCTCACTGTATGTAGAGGACAGATAGAGATTTGAGGCAAACATATTGTGTGATTATTTTTGTTTATGTGTTAAAGGGAAACATTTTATTGGAGTGTCGATGGGTTGCAGGTTTGTCTTTGGGGAAGAAGTTGCTGAGAACTTCGAAGCCAGCACAGAGGGAGTAGTTGATGAGACTCCAAGGTAGTGAAGGAGAGGACCTCGAGGTGTGAGGAGAAGCAGTGAAGAGGAGTGTCACGTGCTTCTGTAGAGGTGGTGAAGCACCATAGTTGCTCGAGAGAACTTCATGGTGTAGCAGCCAAGAGAGCTGTGTGGAGGAACCTAGCAGAAGGGTAAAGCACCGTAGTTGCTCAAGAAAACTTCATGATAGCAGCCTGGAGGAGCTGCAGAGGATCCTGGTAGTGAAGCCCGGAAGAACCTGAAGATATCAGGGTAGTGAACTTCCAGAGGTGGAAGGGAAGTACTGGTGGATTACTTGTAGGGAGTTGATAGTGTTTGGTTGTCAGTAGCGTGCAAGACGCAGTGAGAGGTGAGTGATTGTTTGCATTCTTATGTCAAGGAGTGTTTTATACTGAAGTTTAGAGTTACAGTCGTAGGCTGGATTACCTACAGATGTATGCGTTCCAGGACTGACAGTGATCGATTGATCATTGTTGTGTATCAATGAACATTTATACTGATATATGTTATTGCATTCAAATGCTGATTTTCTATATATATATTCTCTTGCTGATAGTGCAACAGTGTATGTAGACTTGATCAACTTGAGGAGGTTGATAGTATCAGGTGGTGAACCAGGAGATAGGATACCACTTGATAAGCTGATAATAGAGTTCTGATGGTGTTGGAGTGCAACCTGATTGTAATATTATAGAGTATAGGATTCATTATTATTATATGTGTGTATGTATTGTGTATGTGCTTTGTCCAGTAAATGTATCACAATTTGCTGGTGTTTGCCCTTGTCCTAGTGAGGCTTCCCAGGAGGTAGTAAAGAAGGAGAGAGAAAGAGAGAAGGAACCAAGAACCACTGCTGTGGACAGGGTAGGAGGTAATACTAGTAAGTCATAGGGGATTGAGGAGATCATATCTCATAAGGAGAGAGTGGGGAGTCACAGCGGCTCGAGTGGGTGTGTGCACGTGACAACGAGGCTAAGTGTTGGAGCCGCATCCCCTGAACGTGTGACGTTGAGCCCCTCTCCAAGAGCCAGAAGCGCCAAGGGTGATCTCCTAGTATAAGCACTCTGCCGAGTTGTGGGTTGGGTTGTCCATAGAGAAGGATCAACGACGACAACACCAACCAACCCACAGTCTATAATAACATGCAATGGTAATATTAATACAACCATTAAAAACATGTAGTGTTTCTCTGTATTAAAATATATTTTAATGTAATATTTGTAATGTTAATATTATTTGTATAATAATATTTGTATAATATTGTATATAGTATAATTAATATTTGTATAAATAATATTTATATAATTAATAATTAATATTTAATATTTAATAATTAGTATAATTAATATATGTATATAGTATAATTAATATTTGTATAATAATATTTGTAATGTTTTAATGTAAACATACACATAACTAAGAAAGTCTCTAAAACAGTTGGGATACTCTCCAAAATCAGATATTATGTACCGAACTCTGCTCTCATCTCTCTATATTATGCGCTAATCTATCCCTATCTTAATTATGTTATCTGTGCATGGGGGTCTACCACTGCAAACCACAAACCACCTCAAGTCCATCATCACCCAGCAAAAATCTGCTATTAGGATAATAACAAATTCTGCTTTCAGACAACACTCAGCCCCCTTGTTTAACTCCCTAAACATGCTAAATATAATCTCACTCCATAAATTCTCTTGTGTCAACTACATTTACAAAACCCTGTTCTTAAATGCAAATCCTGCTCTGAAACTCTCCCTGGACAGATGTAATAGGACCCATTATCACCACACCAGAAATAAATATCTCTTTGATATCCCCAGAATCAAACTTAATCTGTGTAAACACTCTATGCAAATAAACGGACCCAGTCTATGGAACTCACTCCCTAGTGATTTGAAAAGCTGTCCAACTTTTGCGTCATTCAAAAACAAAACTAAAAAGTACCTAATTTCATCTTCATAGTTTTTTACATTGTTGCTTTAAAATTGCACTGTATCTATTGTTACCTAATATCCTAATCTTTATGTACCCAATCCAAACATCTTTACCATTGTGATCATTGCTGTCTTCTTATATGTGCTATCAATCTGCTGTATAGTGCCTATTAATCTTGTTTGAATTACCAATCAAGCTGTCAATGTAATCAATCAGAGCTTTAATATACCAATGTGCTTTAATATACTTACTAATCTCTCCCATCTCATTTTTTTCTTGCAATGTATCTGTTATCATTTTATTAATTCTGCTAGAATTTACCTACATAAAATTATCTGTTAGATTAAGGACCTGCCCGAAACGCTGCGCGTACTAGTGGCTTTACAAGATTGTAAATACCATGCTATGTATTCTCGCAAACCCAATGTACCTTCTTGTATATAAATAAATAAATAAATATTACTTTGAAAACCGTATCAAAACAATCTGAAACAAAATATCGGGCTCCTTTAATTACAAATTCGCTACTTTTAGACCATTCTAAATGGTCTAAAAGTGGTCTCCATTACCATTTGCTAATGGTAATTCAGACACTCCATTACACTCCAGAAATCATTGTTGCATGGATGACCTCTACCACATTCTACTACTTCTACTACATTCTATCACAACTACCACATTCTTCCACACTCTACTACTTCTACTACATTCTATCACAACTTCTACCACATTCTTCCACACTCTACTACTTCTACTACATTCTATCACAACTTCTACCACATTCTTCCACACTCTACTACTTCTACTACATTCTATCACAACTTCTACCACATACTTCCACACTCTACTACTTCTACTACATTCTATCACAACTTCTACCACATACTTCCACACTCTACTACTTCTACCACATTCTATCACAACTTCTACCACATTCTTCCACACTCTACTACTTCTACTACATTCTATCACAACTTCTACCACATACTTCCACATTCTATCACATACTTCCTCGCTATTTCGCCTTGCTTTCGGATGCATCACCCAATTTTCTTTTGTATTGTGTGTGTATTTGTCCCTGGCAAGACAAGTCTGTTGAGTGTGCACAGGTGCTGGCTCTTCCCACCTGTAGAGGTGAGTGAGGGTAGAGATGAGAGCACTCTGGTGGAGAGGTTTGTGAGAGGAGAGGTGGAGAGTGTAGCAGGTGAGGAAGGTCCCGTGCTGGTGTGCTGCCGCCAAGGTCTCCGCGTCACTAGTGGCCGCATGCAGCCACAAGTCCTCCTGCCCGCTCATCATCGCGCCACTTCCTCTCCCTACGGCCTACACTATTTTCTGATGGGGAGAAAAGAGTAAAAAAACAGCGTTGAATGTGATGAAACGACATTTTCTGGATGAGCCCCAGGAAGCTCCCTGAAGTTATCAGACTAACATGTGCCATATTAGTTTTGTGCAATCAGTCCTTGGAGTTGGAGTGCCTACCAGGGGCGCACGAGCCCACTCAGAGAGGCGCAGGGAGCAATAGCCATATGAACTCTCTATATTTAAGAACATAAAAATAAAGTATAGACCCAGAACTAAACCTCTTACCAGTATATATGACAATCATCACTTTAATGATCAAAATTGCAGATATTTTACAGCACATGATGTAAACAATGTATTAACACATAATCACAATATCTCTGTAATTAACTTGAATGTAAGATCTCTAAGCAAACACTTTGATGATGTTAGTGCCTTGATTCAAACTGTTGACAACAAATTCTCTTTTGTTACACTTACTGAAACGTGGTTAAAAGAGGATAATACTCAACTCTTTAACATGCCTAACTACTCAGCAATTCACAACTGTCGACCAATTCAGAGAGGTGGTGGTACTGCTCTTTACTACCACCAAGAACTAACATGCTTAAAAGTAATTAGAACTAGAGACTGCTGTGGGGAATATATCTTCGCCAGTTTCAGAGTCAAGGGTGCTGAGTCTGTCCTGTCTGTGGGAGCAGTCTATAGAATTCCTAACACTGATGTGTCCGAATTCAACTCTAACCTTAGATATCTAATACTAGATAACAGACTGAACAAAAACCATCTAATTATCGCAGGGGACATTAATATTGACCTCTGCGAGCCTGAAAACCTTCCTACAGTTTCCTCAACTGTATGAATTCCTGCTTCCTCATACCCTTAATCACTAGACCTACTGGAATCACTGATAGTAATGCCACTGCTCTTGACCACATCTGGACTAACATAAGCTCTCCACTTCAGGGATAATCATTGATAGGACCGCAGACCTTTACCCATCATTTCTCCTAACCAACATTAATATACCACCTCTAGATACAAGGAAGATAAGCTTTAAGCTGCACAATGAAACTTCTATAAGCAACTTTATTGCTGCTGCTGCTAATATCAACTGGGAGGCTGAATTAGGTGACATAGTGAACACCAACCCAGCAGTGCAAACATTTCTTCAGAAAACTCTGAACCATTATAACTCCCACTGTCCAATGCTAACGAAACAAGTTACATATCCCCAGGGTCAAACTTAATCTGTGTAAACACTCTATGCAAATTAAGGGACCTAGTCTATGGAACTCACTCCCTAGTGAATTGAAAAGCTGTCAAACTTTCGCCTCATTTAAAAGCAAAGCCAAAAAGTACCTAATTTCATCTTCGTAGTTTCCTACACTGAGCTTTAAATTTGCTCTGTATCTAATGTTACCCAATCTCCCAATCTTTATATACTTAATCCAAACAACTTTCATTGCTGCCTTCTTTTATGTGCTAGCCATATGCTGTATTGTGCCTGCTAAGTTTTGTTAAACTACCATTCAAGCTGTCATTGCAATCATTCTGAGCTACCTATGTGCTTTAATATACCTACAATTTTTCTCTCATCTTTTATTTTTTTCATGCTATATAACTGTTAGCATTTATATAAATTTTGCAAGTATTTACCTACTTATAAGTTTCTTAGATTAAGGACCTGCCCGAAACGCTGCGCGTACTAGTGGCTTTACAAGAATGTAATTACTATGCTATGTATCCTCACAATCCCAATGTACCTTCTTGTATATTTATAAATAAATAAATAAATAAATAAATAAATACATATATAAATAATAGGTTAAACACTCCATGGCTTACAAAGAGTATATTTAAATCTATTAATAAAAAAACATGACCTTGAAAAGAAGTATAGGTTAGGAGTCGTCTCCAAAGTGTACCACTACGGGCTCACCATAGCCCGTGCTACTTTGGATTTTTTGTTCCAGGTAGCGAATCTTTAACAACAACAACAACAACTCCAAAGTGAGTTATCAAATAGATCCCTTAAAAGTGTTATTAGACGAGAACTCCTGGATGAATTTGAAGAAAGTAGAACAGTGCAAACTGGAACTAGCAGGTCCATTGTTCATCACAATGAAATGTGTGAAGTAAAACATGTGTATGGGGCAAGTAACAAAGTCAGTAGACTAACAGATGTTGTCACAGCTCGTATAAGACTTGGCTACAAGTATCTCTGGCAGTTCGGCTTGTATTGGGATCTAGATGAAGTAAAGTGTAAAGTGTGTGGACAAAGACAGGGACACACACTCGAGCACTATATCTTGGATTGTAGTAAAATTGAGCCTTTTAGAGATAAATCTAAGCTCACTCTGTATGATATGGCAACCTATCTTATTACCATGGATGAATTACCTGAAATCCTGGCACTGTACCCACATTTCGCTTCCAGTAGATGAACGACATATGAGATCCTATCTATAACCACCCAATCCTACTCATAAACATGTCCAACCCACGCTTGAAACAATCGAGGGACCCCACCTCCACCACGTTACACGGTAATTGGGTTCCACAAATCAACAACCCTGTTACCAAACCAGTGTTTACCCAAGTCTTTCCTATAACTAAACTTATCCAATTTATACACATTGTTTCGTGAACAAATCCACAAGGGCCATTGTTTCGTGTTCTGTCTTTCGTTGATACTTTTAATACCCTATTAATATCCCCTTTGTTATGTCCATTCATCCACTTGTAAACCTCTATCATGTCACACCTAACTCTTCGCCTTTCCAGGGAATGCAATTTAAGCTTTGTTAATTTTTCTTCATATGAAAGATTTCTAATTTGGGTATCCTCGAGCCCAACGGGGATTTACAGGGCCCGTTGGATATATAAGCCCTGTCGAACGCCAGGACTGGGACCATCTGGTCACCACTTGGTCCGGGAGACATCTCCCGTCACGCAGGGTGCAGTCGCGCCTCCACAGATCTCCAGTATCAGCTCTTGATACTGGTAATGGCTCAAAAGGGCCACCACGTACGGGCTATTCATGCCCGTGCCACCTCTTGGGTGGCTTAATCTTCATCAATCAATCAATCACCAGGACTGAGGGCCAGTGCTGGGGCCAGCTAAGCCGGTAAGCCCTGTCTGCATGCAGGCAAACTGGCAACCGGTGTCGCCGTGAAACCTCGGGGCAACAGAGGACTACCAAACACACACAGACTAACCGGTCCCCAGAGAGAAACCTTGCATGGCTGTCGCTGATGCAAACTGTGCCGGCCGCAGTGTGCCCCCATCCAGCACAAACCCATTCCCCCTACCCGGGGCAAGACAGGAAGCCCGAGACCCCCGGCGAACCCGAACGTTGCGAGAACAACACCAAGTAATGACGGCCTCTAATGGGAGTGAGACCCGGACGACCCAGGGAAGGTAACCCCTGAATCGCATGGGAAGTACTTACCGGAACCTAGGAAAGGGAACCCTAGGTGCATGCAGCCCAGTAGACTTACAAGAACACCTGATAACCACACAAAGAGCCGGGAAAGCCACAAACGCTAAGCAAGAGAAAGCTTGAAGCCAGAGAGGACCTCCGGCACCTGGCACATCAGTCGACGAACTGGTGGTGGTGCGGCTTGCTCGCCTGAGCTGGGGACGAGCGGGCGTGCTAGTTGCATGATGTGTTGCTTGTTTCATTCTTTTCTATTGGGGGGGGGGGGAGGAAGTTCTTGGGCTCTGTTCGGACGTATAGGTTGCAATTTTAACCAGTTGAAGGTTTATAATGGTTCGCCTACCTTTCTGGAGTTCGATAGCAAACATGATAAGCTCTAAATATTGAGTTCATATGACACACAAAGAGAAAGTCCAGTAAGTTCAGTAGAACTTCGGTTTCAACCCTTTTACCCTGTCCTAGCTCAGTCGATTAAGGCAGTATCTTGGCAGTAAAGTGAAACAAACTATGACGTCACCAGGTTATCGGTTACATAACTTACTAATTACAAAACTCGTAAAACAAAAGAGCATCTGCTCGAAACATTATGCACCTAACCTAAGTAGTCCTAAATCCTACAAAATACCTTAATCCTAACAATTACTTACTAAAGATTGGATTTGATACTTTACATGATCATAGTTCTTACCTGTTAACAGCACTGATATTAAGTATTGAACAGAGACGAGGTCCATTACTTGTCTTGTACACTGTCCTTAATGGGTGGTGACAACACCCAGACTGGTAGGTGGTGTTGACAACACCCAGACTGGTAGGTGGTGTTGACAACACCTAGACTGGTAGGTGGTGTTGACAACACCCAGACTGGTAGGTGGTGTTGACAACACCCAGACTGGTAGGTGGTGTTGACAACACCCAGACTGGTAGGTGGTGTTGACAACACCCAGACTGGTAGGTGGTGTTGACAACACCCAGACTGGCAGGTGGTGGTGACAACACCCAGACTGGCAGGTGGTGTTGACAACACCCAGACTGGTAGGTGGTGGTGACAACACCCAGACTGGCAGGTGGTGTTGACAACACCCAGACTGGTAGGTGGTGTTGACAACACCCAGACTGGTAGGTGGTGTTGACAACACCCAGACTGGCAGGTGGTGTTGACAACACCTAGACTGGTAGGTGGTGTTGACAACACCCAGACTGGTAGGTGGTGTTGACAACACCCAGACTGGCAGGTGGTGGTGACAACACCCAGACTGGTAGGTGGTGTTGACAACACCCAGACTGGTAGGTGGTGTTGACAACACCCAGACTGGTAGGTGGTGTTGACAACACCCAGACTGGTAGGTGGTGGTGACAACACCCAGACTGGTAGGTGGTGTTGACAACACCCAGACTGGTAGGTGGTGTTGACAACACCTAGACTGGTAGGTGGTGTTGACAACGCCCAGACTGGTAGGTGGTGTTGACAACACCCAGACTGGTAGGTGGTGGTGACAACACCCAGACTGGTAGGTGGTGTTGACAACACCCAGACTGGTAGGTGGTGGTGACAACACCCAGACTGGTAGGTGGTGTTGACAACACC